TTAAAAACAAACATTTGAATGTTACGTACTCAACTTATGTATCGCTAAAATAATTTCAGTATTTGGTCTTTTTTACATTATTTGAAGCAGAACAATATAATGGAACTACAGATATTATGTAATTGATGTTTTAATAAAAGACTAACACATTTTGAATTATTTTTTGGGTCATTCATTACAGTTTTTATATAAATGAGATCACGCTATGGGTAAACATTTAAGTCGCAAAAATCCAAAGAATACTACATTTGCCCGAATAAAATGCGCACATTTTATTCTTCCAAATACCTCCCGAAAAATTGACTACTCATTATATTACAGCACGTTCAATTTTGTTAGGTATTTTACTGGAAGCTACCACTGAAAATTATTAGAGCATCATTAATGGTTAAAAACAAATGTTGCATATCCATTGCAATGAATGTGACGGATGATGACATGTTGTCGGAATCAGAAGAGGATGAAACAAAGGTTCAAGGAAGCAAAGTTGATGAATCCGATGGCAACGACAATTCTAGCGAGGACGAAGATTTATGTATGAGGATGAATAATTAGTTTAGTGTATTATCACCAATAAATTTTGTAGAATTGACACGTAAAATAATCAATAAAAGATTTCCAAAAAATGTTTAATATATCGATAGTTATTTACTGTATTTAGAAACTACTCAGTACATTTTGTACAACTGATGTAAAAAAAAAAACAACAACAAATTTTCTTCAAGTTAACCTTTCGAGATTGGGTGTATATTATGTTCGGGCAAATAAGGTATGTCAAAAGGAATATTAAAGAGGTTTCATATCTAATGGTGTCTAATTTGCTAAAATCTTTAAACAATTATAATATTAACTTATTGTAGTGTTAAATGGTGACGTAGGAGGGTTAATAAAGCCATAAATATTATTGGACAGATAATAAGGTAAAGAAAATATTTTTGACTGAACATGAGTACTAGTGCTTATTGAAACTATTTACAACATTCGAGTATAAATTTAATTTTAGGTATTTAATACTGATTTTTAAAATATTTTATGTTTCTTAGAACTACAAGTTTAACAAAAGGTGTAAAATACCTTGTTATATTCTGTTAAGTGTATCAGTATCGACACATTTAAAATGTTCCAAAAGTAGCAAACTCCCACATGATATATGAACATCGACATTTTATTGTTTAATACAATTGATAATGATATACAAACATAAAGAACAATGCAGATAAGGATTACTGACGATTTAATATCATATGTCTGACATGGTAACGTTGCGATGTTAAAAATATTTTATCTCTGACTCCAGGTTGTGTATCGTAAAAAGTAAGTACAATTTTGGTCGAAGAGCTTCAAAGATATATACAATGATATCCAAAAACTCTACATTTCTTGCTAAGGATTGTCTTTTGTTCATCAATGATAATATATATTTTAAGTTTTTGTTACCATAAAATTCATACTCTTGAAAGTTGCAAGTTAAATAAAAGAATGATTGAAGAATAGTAATGTGTGTGATCAGCTCAGGTAATAAGTAAATTTCTACCTGATCGTTAAAGTGATAAATGCTATGTAATAGGTGCTTCAAAATGCGCAGTAATAAGGCATGGTATTAATTGTAGATTTATACCTTCTACCTGAACGTTAAAGTGATAAATGCTATGTAATAGGTGCTTCAAAATGCGCAGTAATAAGGCATGGTATTAATTGTAGATTTATACCTTCTACCTGAACGTTAAAGTGATAAATGCTATGTAATAGGTGCTTCAAAATGCGCAGTAATAAGGCATGGTATTAATTTTAGATTTATACCAATTTCGTAGTTTATTTTAACATTGTTTGAATGGAAATAAGCAACGGAACTAACGTAAACGTTCACATTTGATCAGAATAATTAATTAAATCATAACTCAAGTATTCAAGCTCTTTGACGTTTTTATAATACACTGTAAAAATACTACCATAGAAATACGTTAATTAACCATTATTTTTCAATTTTCAAAACCTAATTTTGATTAAAATTATGATTAAAAACATGGAAATATCGTGAAAAATACCATAGATAAGTATATCTAATAATTATACTGAAATTATCCACAAGTTCTTTTTAATGTATACAATCATTTTTCAAAACACTGATATATCCCCTGAATTCAATGTGAAAAACACTGATATATCCCCTGAATTCAATGTGAAACCGTTTAAAAAATAATTTGACCGCAAAAAACAAACACACGAAATTCCTTTGAATTAACAGTGAATTATCATACTTAATCGTTTATTTTTATACATGTTTGCATGTATAGCGCTCTGACTCTTTTCATATTTATATATAATGTTCTAAGCACATGAACTGTCTTTAAAAACGAATACTTTAAGTTTTTCTATGGTTAAGAGCTACACTATGATGTATTAATCTGATATACTATAAGCCTAAAACAATGAAATTTATTCTGATTAAATGTCCTATCATTAATAATAATAAGATAAAGATGATAATTAAAATTTTAAGAAATTCTGATCTTACATTTATAAAACATGATATTATAAAATAAATACTGTCTTGTGTTTTTATAAAAGTCTCATGAAGAAATTGGCAAATTTTCAGTTCTCATATAAATACCACGACTATAGGAAAACAACCAGAGGGTTTCTGCAGTATTATCAGAGCAAAGTTATTAAGTACTTAATAATGTAAGCTATACTAAGATAAAAAAAAAGAGTAAAAACCTTTAAGTCGAATTAAAGTTAAAACTGCTTTTTGCATCTGGTGCACTAAAGTCACAATCTGCCTTCGCCTAACAAATGCTGTACAAAATGTGCCAGGAGGTCATTTCGTGTTGGGGGGAGACGTAGGCGTATATACGTTTCTTGGTAACATAGTTTGGCAACTGTTTGTTATGGATTTCATGCAAAGCTACACGAGGGCTATCTGCGCTAGCCGTCCCTAATTTAGCAGTGTAAGACTAGAGGGAAGGCAGCTAGTCATCACCACCCACCGCCAACTCTTGGGCTACTCTTTTACCAACGAATAGTGGGATTGACCGTCACATTATAACGCCCCACTGAAAGGGCGAGCACGTTTGGTGTGACGGGGATTCGAAACCGCGACCCTCAGATTGCCAGTCGAGCGCCCTAACCACCTGGCCATGCCGGGCAGTTTGGCAACACTAACTCAGAACAAATTTCGTTTAGGGACGTCTATTTAGCTTTAGGTAACTGGATTAATTAATTATTACTGTTAATACTATTATTATTAGCGGGTTCTATATCTTACAAGTCAATATTTACATCAGGACAGGTACGCTTGTCATTTTAAAATTTAAAATTGTTTTTTACAGTACTTGAGAAAATGTCTTCATGATTTTTTAAGTTCAATTATTTTTAATGCTTTAGTTATTGTTTTTTTCATGTTATCAAACTGACTGTATTTTGCCTGCCTCCTGTTGATTCGCCCATACGTCGAAGGGATGTGTTAATAGCGTAACAAAAGTCTGTCGTGTTTCGATTTATTCATTGGACTTTACTATGCGTGACTCGAAGAAATAGTTATGTGATATTTTGAGTACAAATGTAAACTTTGAAGTAAAAGTTTTTAATGCTTTTTTCCCCATATGTGTGAAGTTGAATATTTTTTCAAGTACATTTATTTGCCACATGCTGGTTGTTGATTTTGTGTTATTAAACAAACTGGATTACGACCTTCCAGGACCAGGATTGGAGACCACTGGACTAAAGAAAGCGATGTAACGCTGTTAGTTTTAGAATTAGCCCCTGCTATGCTCATTAATGTATGAGATTCATTCCAATGAAAAACTAAGCATACACAATTCAAGATGTATATGTAAATATCACATGGTATCCTTTTTCATGTGACTTGTCAGTATGGAAGCGGGAATCCACTAAATACAATGTAGTCAACAATCATACTCATAGTAACCATAGAGTATATTCTTCCAGCACAGGAAAAACTAATGAATAAAGTTATTCTATGTGGATAAACCATTTAATGTGTTTCTATGTGAAAGTGTAAAAAGAAAACCTTAAAATATACACAAAAAACATTATTTTGTGCGGATTAACCATTAATAACGTAGAATGGTAGTGAAAAAAAATTGAGACAGATAGTAAAACAATTGTTTTATGTGAAATAACCGTTAGTATAAGGGCATTTAATATAATAACCGTTAATATAAAGACATTTCCTTGTAGAATAGCAGAAAAATACAGACTAAAACAACTATTTTAGGGTAAATTCCCGTATAATATAACGGCGAAATGGTATGAATTCGGTTTTAGTTCTTATGTTAGATACTTAGGACTTACTGTTATCATTTACACACTTTTCTTTCCTGCAAACTAAAATTTGGGATCATACATGAATACAGTAAACACGGCTGTAAAACCGATATGATCTGTCAGATTTGCAGTGATATCACTTCTGAGTGAGAAGTAATAACGGAAGAGAAACTGAAATACAATTTTTTTAGGACTATGCTAATGGATGTTGAGTTTAACTAGGGAACCTTATTACAGCCTATTTTTACCATTACAATTACGCTAAAACATGCATACCCAGAAACTTTAATGGGTAATTTCATTTTACAATAAAAGATGGATATACAACACTTTTACATAACCTAATTCCACTGCATTACGTACAGAACAATAAGAAATAAGCAGATATTTTCCATCTCTCGCAATATTGGATATCGCTTAATGCACCACGCTGATTTAATGTAATTTTTCTTCTTCAAGTTCGATTTAATCGGTATACCTGTATCTTCTTAACCAGAACAAGGGGTTCGAAAGTGTCTTTCTATCACAGACTTATCCTTGAATATACACAGAAATTCAGATGTTATCCCAGACTTATCCTTGAATACACACAGAAATTCAGATGTATCCCATACGTCAGACTGGGTGCACATAGGAAAATACAGTTGAACAGTAATAAACAATAACGAGAAGCTCGATAAAAACAAGCCTGCTCAGCTGAACAGTATTCGCTGCCGCTTTTCCACCAACTGCAATTGAATGAACCAAAAAATGTGATTACATTTTTTCAACAAAAGAATAATAATAAATCGTTTTTTTTTCTCTTGAAACTCAGAAAACATACTCCAATCTATAATGCTTTTCAACTTACCATTTTATGACATACATCTACTGAATGTATTATAAAATTCAATTACTCTGCTATTTACATAGCTTACATAGAGATTTGTAATTCTTTATTACCACTGAATGAATACATAGATATATTCCAAGAAAGTTTGCAATATATATTATAATTTCTTTCGTAATGGATTATAAAGATTGCTAGCGAGAAAAACAGAAGTAAATACAGGCAGCTGAGATGAGAACCTCGTATATGGAGTTACTCATAGATATGTGAAATGAGGATATAAGGAGGAGTTTAGGAGTGTATTCGGTGCTGGGATTTATAAAGAGGAGTCAGTTGAGGTAGTACGGATGGGTGAAGAGAGTACCAGAAGAAAGATATGACGTGGATACTAATAGGAAAATGGCTCATAGGTTTGGTTTGATTTGAATTTCACGCAAGGCTACACAAGGGTAATCTGCGCTAACTGTCTCTAATTTAGCACTGATAGCCCAGAGAGAAGGCAGATATTCAACACACACCCCTCCGCCAACTCTTAGGTTACTCGTTTACCAACGAATAATGGGATTGACCATCACTATATAACGCCTCCACGATTGAAAGGACAAGCAAGTTCCGTGAAAGGGTTTTGAACCCGCGTTTTTCAGATTGTAAGTCAAGCGCACTAAACATCAGGCCATGTCAGGCCGATCCCATAAGAAGATTAAGGGTGATAATGGAAAGAAAACATTGAATAAGTAATTGGAAATAGAAGGACGATACTGGAGGAGATAGCGATTTTGAATTTCGCGCAAAGCTACTCGAGGGCTAACTGCACTAGCCGTCCCTAATTTAGCAGTGATCAACTAGAAGGAAAGAAGCTAGTCAATATTACCCACCTCCAACTCTTGGGCTACTTTTTATTAACTAATAGTGTAATTAACCTTTACATAATAACGGTCCAACGGCTGAAAGGGCGAGCATGTTCGGTGACAGGGACTTGAAATCGCGACTGACAGATTGCGAGCCGAACGCCCTAATCACAGGAGATAGAAGAAAAGAAGAATTATGTCTGGATAGGAATGCGAAGCGCTGTTTCGTGGGGTGATACAGCTGGCAGTCTTTCAGTGTAGCAGGAGGAAGAAGACTAAATTAAAAAGGATTAAAGGGGTAAAAATGGTTAAACTGAATTCCTCAAAAATAAATGAAATTAATGCTCTCTAATTAAGTTTTCAGTATTAGTTTTCCTTTGCTAAAATGCTTCTTTGGTGATTGGTAAATCAAATGATCTTTGTTTGACAATATTTTTATTACCTTGGTTTAGAGTGTTACTTATACGTAAACCAGAAGCATGCTGTTGCCTTGCAAATATTACCGCTTCGTTACTCAACTCAACAGCTCGAGAAACTGTTGCTGTGCACCTTAGTTTCATATTTTCACTCCACAAGTGTTCATCTTTGACCACAAATCTTAATCCTGCTGTTGAGGTTTTCAAGCCATCACCATGAAGTTTAGTTGGAAACGTTGTTATATATTCAGCTTCAACCTACACGGGGAGTTTTATTTAATGCGATAAAAAATATATTATTGTAAGTACAGCCCACAAAATGTGTTAATCTCTTTATAAAAACTAAAAATGATAACAGTGAATGTACTAAACTATTAAATACCCAAAGCTGTAAATCAGCTGCTACTATTACAATCTATGAAAGTGCAAGACAGAACAGTTATAACTTAATCATGTTTATTTTATTATGTTTGATATTTTCTATGTTTCATTGCTATTCTTAGATTCTAATTTATCAACTAAAACATATTACTATCAGTTGTAAACATTATTTTATGTCTAAATATCAGCAGATTATTAAACTAAAATAATGATGAATCTACTATTCGAGTAACTGTTTAGGAAAAGTAAAATCGAATAGGTGGTTTACCATTTCTAGTTGAGAAGACGTTTATATCTTACTTTAGCACCATCACTTCTATTTATAACTAAATATACATTTTCTAGTCATATTACTCTATATTATTATATTCTTCAAGTTGATTCTGAGTTTTTATTATTATTTACTTCGACCTAATCTAAGATCATTCAAGTGAGGTAATGTACTTACAAACCAATTAACTCAGGGAAGTCCTAAACGAACAAAAATATAAGACTTCCTTTTTATAAACAAAGATTGGCGTTTCTTTGTTTGTTATTAAGCCCATAGTTATATAATGGGTTACTTGTCATTCTACCCATCATGGCTATCGAAACTAGATTTTGACGGCTTATAACACCTGGCTTTCACAAACAGCAATTTCCTGTTAAAATATTTGAAACATTGATTGGCAACATTGTCACTGCCATTCCTCTTTGTTTCTTAGTATAAAAGAGTTGAATAAAGTAGAATATACCAATAACATGGAATGAACCCACCGCTTTATATGAGCCTGGTCTCTCTCTCTCTCTTTTTTTACTTTGACCTAGCCCAGTGCAACTTATGTGTTCGAGACCCCAATTAACTCAGAAAGCTTGCTTAAAATAACAACTGGATCAATGTTTATTTTTTCTTAAAAAAACATTTAGAAAACCTTTTCCTATCAATCATTTAAAAACTGTGTATATTACATATATATTTTATAAACACATTACCTAACAATATAAATTTGTTATTTTTGGAAATATCAGACATACTTTAGTTTAAATTACCAACAGTTATGGACTTTCATATCTTACAATACATAATTAACAAATCCTTGAGATTTGTAATGTTATTTACTCTCGTTATTGTAATGCGCTATATTGGGATCAACTTAACTTTGTATTCTGTGTGAAAAGCAGGTTGTAATAAAATGTGTTACGACTACCGGTTACCAAGGTATCTTAGCTTCAGGTCTGGATTTGGCTGGATTCTGTCTGAAAAGTAGGCTCTGATAAAGTGTATTACACCTACCGGTTTATTATTTATATACCAACGTATCTTAGCTTCAGGTCTGGATTTGGCTGAAGTGCAATTGATGTTTACAATGTCACCAACTACATATTCAGGTCTTCCCCCACTAATACGTGGTCCTTCTGTTGGAAATACTAAGTCAAAGAACAAACATACCTTTATAAAATTTGTTTTTGATAATATTTACTAAAGAATACAAGTATTATTATGGAAAAGTCTTGTTTTTAATACGTCAAGTTACTATTTTGTAAATTTCAAAACGTACGCTGTTAATCTGAGACACACAGTAGGGATAATTTTTGAAATATATATATTTCAGGTTCTGTGGTTTTGACTTTCTTGCTTGAATAAATTTTGTAGCATTAAAATTTTCTATATTATTATAGCTAGCTGGGTTACGTATATATCGATCTCTGTTTGTCTTTATTATACTTGTTTGTTTCCTTTTTGGAGCGCGTATTCTATTCGATTTTATTACTCATCATCATTTCTACCAACCTACCCTAAAATCTAATTATATACCCCAAGTAGTGCATCGTCCGTTTTGTGTGTGTATATACTAGCATCCTTTTTGGTACAATAAAAGAATCGTTGGGACCTCTGAAGAAAAAGTTCTGTGAAAGAATTAGAGCGATAAGGTACGTCATTTTTTTGTGCTTGTCTGGAAAAGTCACTTACTTATTTACTTAGATGAAAATTCGCTGAAATAGTGAAATTTTGATTCACTCCACAAACACGTATATAGGGATTTAGGTGGATTTATAAGTACAATAAGTTTTAGTTTTGCTCAGACAATACTGTGAAATAGTCGTTGTTAATGTTCAGACATTTTATAAGTGGTGTCAAACGGGCAATTTTTACGGCCGCCATTTTGTTTCATTACGATCCTTACTATTAAGTGCAACCGTACTTAAAGATATATATAGTAGACAATAGCACTTTATACATGGATTTCATGTATTTATTTCTAGAAAGTGAATCGTAATAACCCAACTATACTTTATGATGCATGTAAAATATGAATGATATACGTACTAAAGTAATTACTTCTTCAGAGTAAGGTAATTACCTATTATAGTTACCGCGGTTGGATTATTTATGAACTCCGATCTGAGAGAATTTATGTGAGAAATATCCAGACATTAAAAGACATATTTTGTAAAGGCATAAATTATTTTTTTTGGAAGAATGTTTCAGGCACAAGTGCTTATTCTGGAAACTCAACGCCCCTCTATATTGTGAGTTATACCCTTTTTTAATCAATCATCGAAAACACGAAAATTACAAAACCAACTACACATATAAAGTTTTCTTTATAGTCAGCGTTATATTCGTTTTTTTTTTGTGAACTGGGCTGTGATAATGTTATTGTGCTTTTTTCCTTCAATGTTTCCTACAAACGAAAAATTTGTATAATTAAAATACGCTATTTGTACAAGTCGTATTAAGGAACAATCTTAAGCAAGGAGTTTCATAATTTGTACAAACGAGGCATTTAGATATCCAATAGAACTTCTCCAACATAATACCCACTATATCCTATGGAACATAATTCCTATGGAATATAACACTCCTTATTTATACACAAGTTATAATAAGGTAATGTATAACAAAATCTATTTGATTTAATATTTCTCGATCGTATGTGAGAACATTCAGTTTTAATTATTAATTATTCTGAACTTAAGAATGAAAAAGTTTAAAGAAGCACAGAGTTTAGCCAAGCGTTTCCACTGATATTTCTTATGCCTGATAATAAACTATATATATAAACTGAACATATGGTTTTCGAATATAATAAATTCAAAGAAGAGATTATATATTTTATTGCTTATTATCATAAGGTTATTCATGAACTTCGGAGTGCAGAACGTAGTTCCAAACTACTTTCTTTCCCATTACTTCTTATCGTAGCTATTTAAAAATATTTATTGAATTTAGTGTTATTCCTTTGCTATTCTCTTAGTTCATGTTAATTTCGTTTGACTAATTTGTAATAATGTGCTAAAAATACACTTTTTTGTGTTTGTTTTTGTAATTAAGCACAAAACTACACAAAAGGCTATCTGTGCTCTGCCCACCACGAGTACGAAACCCGGTTTCTAGCGTTGTAAGTCCGCAGACATACCGCTGTGTGCGACTGTATATAAATATATATTCTATCGAGATTCAAATGTTTTTGTTCCACAGAATAAATACACAATTACTTTTTATTCAATTCCTGTAGTGCATATTGGTGTATAGAAGATATATTAATATTAGAACACAATAATGTTGTTTTTATTTAATTAGACACTCAACGTTTCGCTTTATGGCTTCTTCAGGAGCGTTCCTATAAAACACAAACCGTAACTTAATAGTAATAGTTACGGTTTATGTTTTAATGAACGCTACTGAAGAAGCTGTGGAGCGAAACGTTGAGTGTCTAATTAAATAAAAACAACATTATTGTGTTATAAGGTCGTTTGCTTCTAGTATTACAATTTTATCTGAATAATGAGCTCAAAATACACAGTATATCATTGTACAGCGAAATACTGGTCCAGAGAACACCCATATAACACAACAATAAGTTATAGATATTTTGAAATATAAAAATTTGAAGAAATTTCGCAATAATTCGTTACATCATTTTCAAGCATGAGTCTTTAAGTCTTTTACACGTAATTCTTCTTTTTTTTTAATTGTATTTTCTTTTTTATCATGCTAGCTGTTCTGTAAAAGATAAGTAAAACTAACGAAACTACTTTCAGCAAATACGTTGAAAGACGTACCTGTAACTTCCAATTGTTTACTTGCTTCAACTGTTTGAAAGGAAGGTGCTTCAGCAGAAACTTCGCAGCGATACATTCCAGCAGATTCCAGACTAATGCGATTTAGGTAAACCTTGTCTTCACCTGACTTTGAAAGCTGAGCAGAACAAGAAGAAACAAGTATCACCTGATGGCTTTTCTTTTGGATTTGATTTTGTTTTTATATTATGCTCTAAGAGTGTTTTTATAGCTAATAAAAACAAAGCCGTCGCGAATATTAGTTCTCGTAATTAGCCTAATACATGATCAAGGTAAAAGAATTACCAACTTGCTAATAAACCACAATAAAATCTTATTTTGCACAGAAGTTAATTTACTATCGTCATCACATTGAGTGCTGTACATGAGATTTTTGGAATAAGTCAAATGTACAATAATATAGTGTATATCTTTGTAACAAACGGAGGTTTCAACTTATTTCGAACCCAAGTTTTAATCAACTCTTTAATTGCCCCCCTGTGGCACATCGGTAAGTCTGCTGACATACAACGCTAGAAACCGGGTTTCGATACCCGTGGTGGGCAGATCACAGACAGCTCATTGTGTAGCTTTGTGCTTAATTACAAACAACAAAAAATTTAATTACATAAAAACAGTTTAATTACTTCTTGAGAACTTCAAATGAAACCTAACAATAAATATTATAGTCAGTATAAATACAATGTATTAGGAAATACTTGAGATAATAGATGTGATACTTTAGTGACTAAGTTATCGTTTTCCTATTTATCTGTCATAATCTTTTGAGGATCGCTGTTTAAAACATCATTAAAGAATGTAAGTTACACTTACATCCACTCGTACACCGGGTAGAGGGAGAAACTGACCAGGGGGCCAGTCGTTTGGCAAATATCTGTAGAATTCCGTGTTGTTCTTGTACCACTTCACCGAATAAAGCTGATCGCCGTCAAGCTCATAAGAACAAGTGAGTTCAATAGATTGTCCTGACGTTGTAGGCGAAGGGATATCCAGTACTTTCAGATGTACACCCAAAAGCTGTTGCAGATCTACAAAAGTATCAAGATGAGTATCAGATGTAAGGGTTGAAAATATTCAGTTGGCGGTTTCATACCAGACTGATCCATAGTGAGCTCGGTGTTATCTAATAATCAATTACCATGTCATTATGATATTCATGTTGACAGGATAATGATAGTCCAATTATTTCGTTTATGTCTGTTTGTTTTCTGCAAACTTTCAAACCATGAATTCCTTTTCAAAATCCTAACATTTCATAGAATTTATGTTAACTACTACATACGTAAGTATGCCTAATATAAAGAAGGAAGATTGACTGTACTTTTATTTCCTGTCAACATGAATATCATAATGACATGGTAACTGATTATTAGATAACACCAAAATCACTATCAATCAGTCTGGTATGAAACCGCCTTGAATCATAAAATAATATCTGATGGTTAACTGTCATGATAAGGAAGTACAAAGAAATGGTTAAGGTCTCTCTTAACAGAAAATATATGATTTGACCAAAGTTTGATCAAACATTTTAAATAAAAGATTTGATCAATATTCGATCAAATATTCTAATTAAACGTACATATATATCGTTAGAGTGTTGTGTTAACCGAAGAATATCTTAATAGCTATGGACAATTTCGTTATTCACATGAATATTTCTTCAAACATCAGCCATCTGTTGACGAATGCCAACTTCAATATTCATTACAGAATTGCCAACAGCATTATTTCTCTCTTCAACTTAACAAATGTTTATAACTGATTGACTCATGTGAAGCTACGATTAAGTAAAGAGTCAGTAAACGACTACAATATAACTAATAGTTAGAAGCATATATTGGACTTTTTTCATTTGAATTTAATCATTAAATTGTTTTGATTAATTCTAGATTTCACAATTTTTTGTCTGATACAACGCGTATTCTGTAAATTAGTTTTAGGGCTAGTGAGCTTTTTACACCAATAATCCTATTTATATAATAATACTTAATAATAAGTAATAACTTATGTAATAAGTTCTTTCACTGAATTTCTAATCGTTCTAGTTGCAGCACAGCTGGTAATTTGTCAAGATTTTTTAATGGACAATTTATAGGTTTTTAATTTCGAATGCTTGAGTACATAAGTCAATATTTTCTTTATTTAGAATTTTGAAGTATATTATAGCATTGAGTGTAACAATTATAGCGGTTAACTTTATAGAAATCTACTGTTTGTATATATTTATGACTTTTCCACTCGTGCTGGGGTCTAACTTAACCCTTACAATAATTATCATCGTGATTACTTTTCCCAAATAACTCTAAGGAGAATAATCATCCTTACCAGTTCAAGAGTTTGGTTGCAATTTAACATGAACAATGATGGATTCTGACAGTGAAGAAGGTGTTCTAATGATGATTACTTGAAAAGATTTGTGAGGAAAAAAAAGGTGTTTACTTATCTCTACCATAAATGTTTTATGCCTCATAATAGATATATAGAACAAGACCAGATTTCGCATATGTAAGGAAAAACGTACTTCTAACATATATAAGAAAAACGTAATCCGTGTGAGTGTACGGCACCGATAATACATAACTACTACCTGGACGTGGATAAAATGCCTTTCAAAGCGTTTTAAGTAAAAGTAAAATATCCTAACATATATTAGAAAAGACTAATCTCCCTGAGTGCATGGCACCGATAATACACAAATATTATCTAGACTTGAAAAGAGTAGAGTTTACAGCAACTTCCTTTCAAAGCGTTTTGAGTAAAAACAACACTCTAGAATATAAAAATTTAACAAGCTGAGATACCCGTCAAGTGACAGGGAATGTTTAAACTTATTTAAAACAATGTAACTTTAACAGCAATAATATATTTCAAAGTATTAACTTGAACATAGATTTTATATCAGACGTTTAAATTTATAACAAAGCTTCTTCATAAACAACATTTGCAGTTTGCTTTCCACCTACCATACCAACAAATACAGATTTTGAACTGATCCCACCCTTGAATACACTACATCTCGTTGACCACGAGAAAAGCATGGTTGTTTGAGAAATAATCCAGCAACTTTCATACTTTGACCTTGTATCTTTTTAGAATATTCCACATCGTCTAAAGCGTCAACATGTCAAGATAGTTTGAGATTGACTCAATAGCTTGAGAGTAATTAACCAACAGGCTTTAGAAAATAGAAATAGGGTCACGCTCAATTTTAACTCCCTTAGGACATTCCCCATACTTCATAGTGCTTATATACAAATTTTGGTTGAGATTGGCCCAATAGGATCGGAGGAGTTGGGGTGCAAATAAACCCATATTTCTTTTTTATATATATAGATTAATCCAATGTCACTCTCTTAATTCCAAAGAAATCAGTAATAAGGGTTTAAAAGTTCGAGAAAAAGAGCGTATTCTGAACCATAACTTGAAAATCACCAGGTTGATCATAAAAATAAGTTCTTTCTATTGGGTTTTCGTAAACAAAAATGCTATTTTTTTGTTTTTTTTCTCAAAAGAGAGACTTTTTTTCAAAAGCCTTTCGCGAACAACTTGCACTAACATATTGCAAATGACAAAAAAACGTTGCTTCAAACGCGTCGTTCAGCTCTTTGTGCTTCCATGTGAATTTACTGAAAACAACGTTCATAAAATAACATTTTCTTTTGTTTAAGATGCATTTCCAGGACATGAAATTGCGTTATGGCAATATGTTTATTCATACATCCATGTTAATAGTTTTTCTCAAGGTTTAAACTCTGTACTGTAAACACGGCTATTTCTACTTTAGGCATATTTTTGTAAACACGAATTGGTTACTGTATTTTGAATGTGACGAATGTGTTCAATGATATATATAGCCCTCAGAAAAACACCTTGAAAACAAAAGTACAAACATGAATATAGGAGGTGACAGAAATGGTCCGGTTCAAAGAACAATTGACTGTCAAACCTCTGTGTAGGTCTATTAAAGTTTCATAAAACATAAAAAAATCCACAAACACTTTTAGCTTGGTTTGTAAGATAGACCTATTATTATTTAGTCTTCGTCAATAATATAAAATATCATCTTTAGGAGAATACTTGTATGTACACTGTTTTTTTTTTCTATTATTATTATTTTACTTCCGTTCGTAAAGAAGTGAGTAGTTTCAGGAAGTAGTTTCTGTATTAAGTTTTTAATTTTAATTTGTTATTTCTCACCAATTAGCATCTTCTCGTGTTCTGAAAACTAGTTTTATCTAACCACTAGTAGATTGGTTAAGATATACTACCCTAAAAATAAAAAAGGACATTTTTTACCAGAGCTATGTATTAGATATTACTGTATGTCTGAGGCTACACTTCACCTTACCTGTTTGTGCTCTAGTGTGTTACAAAAGCTTTACAATCCCCCAACTTTCCTTTAGGCATTTAAAATTTTAACGAATATTGTCGAGGTAATAAAGTCAAATACTAATTAAGGTGGACGTTTTTTCTACAGCGTTATCAGTATTGGAATATGCTCTGGGAGGAATGGGTTTAGGAAAATCGATGAAAGAAGAATATTTTCTAATAAATCGTAATTTATAAAGCATCGGTGACCAGACGATCGAATATCAAGAATTATCATATTTATAAGTTGACACGAAATAGCAAATTTAGGAGTTTTAGAAATGAGAGACATTCTGTATCAGTTAGTCTAAAGTTCCCTAGAATTGTATTACCATTTCACAAGTAACCATCATCAGAATTATTTGATTTGAAGACGTTTTTCTCTTCTATTTTTTACGTGAAACGACATCTTCAGGTAGAGATAGGATGCTGGTAGTGTGGGGCTCTACCCCCCGTTGTGTATTCGCGGTGCTTCGAGCGTCTATCTACAACAAACTCTGTAACTGACAAGAACCACAGCACATATACGTTTCTTTCTTGTAATCAATAGATACCTTCTCGTGTAACTCAACTGTTATGTCTTCCAGATCATGTTCATAATAGTAGCAAGTCTCTTTGTTGCCTAAAGCATTTTTTTAATGACATTTTTCGATATGGCATCGACGTTTTGTACATTAAGAAATACAAACATCTAACTTTGATTAAGTCTAAGTCGGATGTCTTGAACAAGTATCCTGATGACATTCTTCGCCAATGGATATACACTATAGCTAACAAGAGTTTGATAGAATAATATAAAACTAACAGTAAAAAGTCTGGAAAACGAGTTGAAACGATCACCATTATATACACACAACCTTCATACAACAGCAAGATATGGCTTAGAAACTAAAAGTCCCACACTGCCAGATTCACAAGACTCTAGAACAAAACTACAGGAAAAGACCTCACTACGCCAAAACGGTAAGACATAGATATCCAATATATGAATATTTCAATGAACACATTGATAACACTGCTAAGCTTGATAAAAAAAAACAACACCGGATCATATCAAAATGTCTAGCGCAGACAACCCTTGTGTAGCGGGAATATTTGAAAGAAACTTGCAAAATTCTATCACTAGTTTTCTCGTCTTCTTCGATCGAAGGACTAATAACCTTTACTTGATCTTGGGCACTTTTAATGAGCATCATCCATGTACTCTTGGTTGACGACTACGTTTCTTGAACTGTTAACCAAATTCACTGATGAAGCTTTATGCTATCAGGTGAATATTGTTCGTTACACTTTCAAAATGAAATCGTTACCTCCCACCTACAACCTCTTCTAAAGACATTTTAATTCTGAAAAGACTGAGAGAACCCCCATGAATATTAATGTAACTTGTTAAATTTAAACTTAATAAAGATAACAAACATGAAAAAGCAAGATTACTATATGGTATAATAAACGGACTCACAACACCATAGATATTACACCCACTTCACCATTATAAGAGGCCTAACTCTATTTATTTGGTTTGCTGACCCAAGATGTGCTGATGAACACTGAACAAGTGAAACTGTAGTCTACAGTAGAAGATACGACCAATTAAAGAATGCATTAGGTCTCTACGTCACAGATTCTCTTTTCAATTTCACTTCTGGTGAAAAAAGAAAAGAAATATTTAACATTCATATATATATATATATATATATATATATATATATATATT